GTGTGTGTGTGTGTGTGTGTGTGTGTGTGTGTGTGTGTGTGTGTGTGTGTGTGTGTGTGTGTGTGTGTGTTTGGACCTTTGAAGGAGCCCAAACTGCAACTGTGGAGCCTTTTATTGAGCTAGACCTGTTACAGCTCTGCTGATTCATCCCGTAATTATATTCTTGATTGCTTTATTAATTGTTTGGTCAAAAAATGTGTCTCATTTCAGCTGAGCCATCGATTGCTGAAGGTTTTCTTGAAATATTTGCAGCTAGAGATGTGCACTCGTAAACGTTTGCATGAACGACTTTACTCCGGAGGTTTAGTTTAGCTCGTAAAATATAGAAACATAAAGAAAGTAAATGATAAAAAGCATGCAAATTCACCAAGTCTGCAGACAACAATCATGTGAAAAGAAAAGAAACACACACGTGTAAAAACACACATGCATGCACACACGTTTGTGAACAAAATAAGAGACCTGTACAATAAAGACTACAGTAGCAGACACAATAACAAACAGTTATCTAACACTAATCCCTCATTTTTTTTATGATCCTCCATCTTGTGGCTTTATTTGTTTGGGAAATGTTTGCAAATTCCAGGCCAGGAATTTGAGTACTGGGTATTAAAACCACATGGTTATTATGCGAGGGGGGGGGGGGGCAAAGGATACGTGCAGCTGAATGGGACGCCTGCTTAGGAGAAGGAGGCAGGAGATATTTGATGCACTACAACCGGCGTGGAGGGTTTTCCTTTGCCTTAGAAGCTAGGGAAGCAGGTCGAGCAGGGGGGGGGAGGAGAGAGAGAGAGAGAGAGTGCTGTGTGTGTGTGTGTGTGTGTGTGTGTGTGTGTGTGACGTTGGTTCCTGGAAAAGCAGAGGGCTGCAGAATAAACAGGCTGCATGCCTGAGACTGCCCTGTGATGTCACCACTGGGCGAGAGGGAGAGAGAGACGCCCATCGGGTTTGAACGAGGAGCAAAAAGTGACGGAGGTGGAGAGCAGGAGGGGAAGTCGGATGAGCAGGAAAGGGAGCGAGCTGTCATTCGCCGTAACAGACTTAGGGAGGTGCAGTGATAAGGAGGAGAGGGGAAGCTGCTGAGAGGAGGAGGAGGAGGAGGACTGATGGGTACGTTTAACCACAGAGACGCCGTACAAGGTGCGTCTGTGGCGCCATCAACCCTCGCGCGAGGCTGTTTGGGTTGTGTCGGGGATTCAATGCCCGGGGAGGAACATTTTGTCCCGGGACGGTGTGTGTGTGTGTGCATGAGTTATGGATTTGCACGAGCCAAGATTGGAAACCTTTGACAAGTGCAGCTTTCTGTCACAATCACGTCGTCCTTTCCTCCTCTCCTTTTCCATCAAACGATCGGCTTCCTCTTCGACTTGCTAAAACTACTCTTAGATAAGAAAAGAAAGGACGAAAAAAAAAGAGGAAGTCAGCAGTCATAGTGCGTGTTTACCTTTGACGTCAGCTTGAAACTGACCCTGAAGACTTAATACGGAGTCCTTGCTGCTTTCAGCCCACAGCAGGACTCACACTGCAGAGTGACTCCTACGGATCCAGGTCAGAAATCGAAATGTCTCCGTAAATAAGAAGTTTTCTATAATTTGTGGCATTATTTTCAGATCTCTCTTTTCACCTTGTGGTGCAGGGGATGATTCACGATTGTAGGAGTCGGTCTTCGCTAACGAGCTCGCTCTCTCCTTCTCCTTCTCGTCTCATCAACTGCCAAACTTGAAACAGCCGTCGCCTCGAAAGTGAGCAAGGGGCCGGAGAACAGCCAGAAAGCGAGGGCGTCGCTGCATTTAATTAAAGATTTGGGCACCTTGTTAGTCAGATTCACAAATGGCAAAACACTCCAGAGCTCCTTTTTCCTGGAGGGAGACTAATAGTGGAAGAAAAGAAGGGAGACTGAATGAAAGAAGGCGTCTTATGACGGGGAAATGTTGTTGTCATCCCCCCCCCCACATGACGGCAGCCCTCCGGGACCCGTTGCATGTTGTTACTCTGTCCAAGGATTGGGTTCAAGTGCGACAACATGAAAGTAATCCGGAGCAATCCCTCCGGGTTTGAGGCATAAGTGTCAGTTTGCTGCTGGACAATGCCGGCTGTGTGTCTTCTCATGTTTGTTTGGTTGATGCCAGCGACGGCGTGTTTGCCTCTTTATTAACACAAAGTTCCAGGCAAGTATCTCTGGCTCTCGCCGCGCTCTCTGCAAACATGTAGGTAAATAATCGGCCAATCGACTCCTATTTATTCACATTTACTGGGGAGGAAGCGGCGTGATTGGAGGCCTTCCTGTGCACTGATTTGTGGGCGGCCGGCCCGGCTCGAGGTCCGCACCTCTCCGGGTCAATGCAACCTTTTGTCAGGTGTCGACTGCAGCATCAGTCATGTGTTTATTTTTTATTTATTTTTCCTTCATCGCTACAGATGTGACGCTTTATTGATTCTCAGAAGAACCCTTATGCTGTCAATTAAAAGCATATTTAGAATAAATGTGATTTGTAGCTTCACAGTGTTTTGGTTAGCGCTGTACGATCGCATCTTTGTGCCAACTCCCGTCTGTCTCCCCCCCCCCC